TCTCAAATACATCACAAAGCGCTAAAGAAGAAGTGGGGAGAGCTTGATAAATAAGCATTTATCTGTGCTTGCATAAATTATTTTGTGAGACGCACGTTGCGCCTGGTAGATTTCAGTTCCATTGAAGTCGCACAATGTTATTATGTTTGCTCTGTCCAGTGATTATTTTACATAATTTTCAAGGATAGTAGTGATCTTACCTGATCCAATTTGAACAAGAACATCCCACTGTTCATTGATCTCTCTAGACATTTGCAAAGCGACTCCTCTATCACATTTTCCGGGCTTGCGCGATTTGTGCAAAGGATGTTGACAACGATGGACTGGCCGCCAGTAGATGCCGAGAACCTCTCTGTGCTTTGGACAAACAGTCATACTGTTCGAACCATTTACAAATAAACCAACTCTTAACAGTATGAGATCACCCTCTGATACTTGTTCTCTAGAAAGTTTCAAATTTCGCAAGTGCGTCATCGTGTTTCTTCTACACTCTGATACGACTATCACCTCCGTCTGACTGTGATATCTCGATGACAAACCACACTTTGTCTTATGTCTACGACCTATTGAACATGCTATCTGTTTTGGTGTTCGACAAAATGACATTTCTCCAAAAATATTCCGTAGCGGATGGGCGACAAAACACGAGTTTAAAATAATCTAAACATTGGTACAATGAAGGGTGTAACCGCTGATAAAATTATATGCGGCCGACTGATCAATACCAACCGGCGTCAGAAGGCCTGCACTTTTATACATGGACATTCTGTATGGTTTGGCCAATTTCTTAAGTATAAATTATTCGATAAACGAGCTGCAAGCTAGCAAATTAATTTAATTTTGTGTCTTATATTCCTGAAAACGAAGGAACAAAGCTATAACAAGTTATTTTAAAAAGCTGGACGATTAATATGCCCTACGACTGAATAATTATAATGAATATCCTGCTGTCTATAAACGAAGAAAGTCTTCAAGCTTTAAACCCCAAATAGCAGCAGTAAGGGGGACTCGCGGTCACCATTTGGGATTGCCCGGGAATTACCCGTGTTTACGTACTAGCGTCCCCCGCGGGAATTACCCGTGTTCTGTTATGTGTTGCGCGAAGATTCCCTTACTGCTGCTAAGTTTGCGAAGGTTAAAATATTTGTGTCGCAAATGAGGGTTAAGATATTCGTTAGATATAGATGGACGCCATCAAAAGCATTCAGAACAAGACTGTGCGCAAGCTCAGGACCCGGGTGTTGGATAATTTGGACGCCGACTTTGCCTTCACGACATTTATGGAGGGAGATACA